AATTAATTTTCATATAGTTTTCCAATAATTTGAGTCAAATTGGTTGATATATATGATTTATAATCATTTCAAGCAAAATTTCATCATTATTCGTATCATATTTGAAATGTTTTGTATAAATCGAATAAAACACTACATTTACAAAGTAATTGTGTGCAAAGATTACGATCTTATATAGAAGGTGAGATAATTTATTTAAAAAATAATTTGTATAGTATAACAAATTTAATATTTTTATGTGTTTTAAAATGAAATTCTCTAATATGTATGCATGCATGTATGTCTGTATATATGTACATACATAACAAAGTATAAATGTCAAAGTATAAATTTTTATACTTTATGCATAAAATTACTATTGATATTGTAAAGCATTACATTTTATATTTTTCAGTTTGATGGAACAAAATTAGTTAAATGCCAAAAAATGAGACAATTAGGTAGATGACAACAGTTGTAGTTTAAAAACATTTGGGTAGGTAATATTAACGATAAAATAATATAATAAAATGTGTATATAAATATTTTCAACATGTATGTAGAATTTGACGCTGAGTGGAATAATTGTTAAATGTATAGTAGTGCAATTTCAAGTTTAACAAAGCTTTTTATTGCCCACTTTGGCAATGTGATACAAGTTTGCCTGAACTTACGCCTGATATTGCTTGCTTAAGAAAATTCGGGTAGGTAAGAACAAAATAACACAATACGATACATATATAAATATTTTCAATATGTATTTAGCTTGTGTAATAAAAATTATACATTAAGTAAGAAAATATTTTATTATAAAAATGTTAAACATTTTATACTCTTTATTTCAGATTAATTATTTCTTCATGTTGAAAAACCTCAAGGAATTGTTTAATTCCGAACTGTGATGTCAATATATTTGCCAAATGACATAGTAATAACAGCCATACAAGAGGAGAACAGGAAATCAGCATTCTTCAATTTTTTAACCCGTCCTCTTAATATATATCAACAGTATTTGTTACAAATATACTCGTAGAGATCACAATGCAAGTAGAAATAGCTAGTCAAAGTTTTTAATTATGAATTAAAACTTTTATTAATTTACATAAAATAGAAATTACGAAGTAGTAATATGTATTCAAATATTTCAGGTAAATTGAAAGCGTCGCGTGAAATTAAAAAGATGTACTTAGACTTTGTATATGTACCAAAACGATAGAGCTTTGTCACCCGAATTTATAGCGCCTTTACATAATTTATACCTTAAAAATTTAACATATATTTTTAAAAATTATTCAATTATTTTTTCCAAGTGTCTGAATAAAGCATATCTCATTGTACAAATTTTACATAAAAAAAGTAATGTAACTATTAAAACATTAAAACTATCTTATAAATTAATCGCAATTAATCGCAGAAGAGTGATATAATTTAATGAATTTAGTTAATTTTGTTTGTCTTTTCTTTTTTTTATTTTTATTTTTAATTTATATAATAACAATCACGTATGGTTGTCATTTGGATTGTACAGTGCCATATTTTTATGTTTAATATCTGTGATTATTACATATTTTATTTATACAAAACATGTATTTAAATCAATAATTTGTTTTAAGAATTATGTGAGAAATTTATAATTTTCATCTCTAATGTTGAAAACATGGTGTTTGTTTTTTATAAAAATAATTATAGTATTTTTTTAAAGCAACTTTTTCTATACTTATGATTTTAATTTTAGAAATTATAAATAGTAGTAAGTTTTACGATATATAAAAGACAAATGATATTAATGCAAAAGATAAATTCTTATTGCTTCTTTATCATTACCATTCATTTATTTCAAAAAAAAGTCTGATAGTTTTAAATAGTTTTAAATTAAATTTGTAATTCGATGTTAATTATCAAAATAACGTGATTAAACGATTGCCAATTGTTTTTACTTATGTACATACATAAATGTATGGATAGTTTGTTACTGACAATGAGAAAATTATTCTATGCGAGAAGCATTTATTAGGGAAGTTCCAATGTCCTAAAATATAATTTAGAGTAGTAACATTACATCAAATACCTCATTAATTCGTGTTCATAAAATAAAATTGAATCCTGTGTATTTCTAGGACGTTCTATCATAACTTATATTTACCTATATTTATAAATTACCTGCATTAAAACAATGCATAGACTGGTTTTCTTATGAAAAATGATTTAAACATATTTACCTCATATTTACGTTCCCAGCGTAAATTTTTTACGCTTATGGTTAAGGTTAAACGTAGTTTGCAACAGGGTACTCGTTTACATATTTCTGTAATATCTTCTTCTTTATATATTTGATTATTTTTAGTTTAACTATATAAAATCATGTGTCTATGAAATTTGGTTTTATTTATAGCAACACTTGACTGTATGTCGAAGGTACATTATGTAAAACGCATTTTTAATATAATTATGTTCGTTAAAGTGATTTTATTCTTTGTATAATATCCCACAAGTAAAAATATTTTTTCTGATCATTTTCTATAACATCTGGTAGTTAAACTTTGTCATTTTTAAAATAAAAGATGCAAGTAGAATAAGATATGCATGAAAAATAAAATTATTTTAAACTTTAACAGATAATAAAAGCTATGTGTATACGATTTATGTACATCAAAACTATTTTTAATTGAACTTTCAGAAGATTAAAGGTATGAAAATTAAAGTTATTTTGGATTTAAAATGCTTTAGAAATATCTATAATATATATAGATCTATTATATATATATATATATATATATATAAAATAGATCTATATACATACACATACATACATGCATACATACATACACACACACATATAGTTATAATATTTATGTACAATAATTGTTAACATATATACACCTAGGCATCTCTAGATCGTTTGTTATCATGTAGTATTAACAATATAATAAAAGGCTAAAGTAAATTTATATTTATTAAAATATGTTTAGTAAATTTTTATATGTGTATTTTATTATTATTATTATTTATATATATGTAAGTATATAGTAATATTTATTTTAAAAAAATTTTATTCTTTTGTTCGTTTTTTGTGTTGTAGATTATAAAAATTTAATATAATTTGATACTTCAATTTTAATTTACATGAATCTTATATAATTATTAAATTTGATTAATATTAATATTTACAAAATAATTCAAATAATATCTGGACTAATCTTGTTATAGAATATTTAATACAATATTTAATACAATAATAGCACCTATTTTAGTAAAATTGTATTTTTATTTATGTCTATAATGTTTCAAAGATTAAAATTTCAAACTGTTGGAAATTAGAAATTATTTTATTTAGCTTTGATACATATCTTTAAACAACTGGTATTGAAATTATATAAAAAAGATTTTTTTGTACAAATATATATGATAAAAATTTTATAACTGATCAAATTAAGAGATTTTACTAAATTGTTTTTCCTTTCCTACTTTTTTCCAAAACTTTTACTACGCAATAGAAATATTTCTGCTCTTTCAACATTATGTTTCGTACATATGTAAAACATACTTAATTAAACTCGCGCTTTTTCTATAGTTTTATATTTTTAGATCCTATTTATTTTTCATTCCCTTAAATGTTACATATAATGTTCCATACTGTAAAACTTCAAAATGAAACTAAAAATTAAATTTTTATACAAATAAGTTACTGGTATTCAGTATACTTGTAATAAATTTAAGCCATAAATACGATAAGGATTCATGACATGAAAAAATAAACAAAAAACAATATAAAATTTTTTTGTCCGAGATTTCATTTTCGAGAAAATCGAGTTTGAAAATTCATGATATTTATAGGAGCACATCAAAAAATAGATATTCAATCTAAATGCTGAAAGTATTATGCATTTAAATGCATTTTAACTTTTAAAAAACATTAAAAATATCTATATTAATATCTTATGAATTAATCGCAATTAAAAGTTAAAGCGATATAATTTGATGAATTCTGGCAGTCAGTTGCGTCTTTTTTTTTTATCTTTACTTTTATCTCTAATTTTCGTATAATAGTCATATATTTCTATGTAAATACAATTATATTAACAATATAATAAAACGCTAAAGTGAATTTTAGTTATTAAAATATGTTTAGTAAATTTTTATAAAAATGTATATTTTATTATATATATGTAATATATGTAAAATATGTAACAATATTTATTTAGAAAAGAAATTTTATTCATTTGTATAGTCTTCATATTGTACATTGTGGACAATCTACAATACACGATAGTTTGATATTTTAATTGTAACTTACATAAATCTCATTTGATTAACATTAATGTTTACAAAATAATACAAGTAATAATACCTGCAATCTTGTTATAGATTTACTAGAATATAATGGCACGTTTTTCATTTTTCATACATATTAAGATTAATATAGTTTTAGACTTGTATTCATATTTACGTCTATAACGTTTCAAATTAAAAATTTGAAATGCACTATTAAAAATTCAAAATTTCTTTATTTATAAGAAAACATTTTTTGCTATTTAAATATATATAGTAAAAAATTTTTGTAGTAACCGTTCAAATTAAGACATTTTATTATATTGTTTTTTTCTTTCCCTATTTTTTTACCAAAACTTTTTATCAATATTATATTTTTCCAATACAATAATAATAGAATATATATTATGAATAGTAATAATAATAATAAGAAGAATGATGATGATGATGGTGATGATAATAATAATGATGATAACAATAACAATAATAATGATGATGATGATGATGATGATGATGATGATGATAATAATAATAATGATAATGATAATAATAATAATAATGATAATATAGTGATAATATATATTATTATAGTAATAATAATGATATATTATCAATACAGTAATAATAGAAATATTTTTATTACCGCAAAATCATGTTGCTTACATATTTAAGCTATAGCACTCTAGAATATTTAATTAAACACGCGCGTTTTTCTATAATTTCTTTTTTTTAGAGTATATATAAAAGTATATCTAATTATATTGTAATTTTTGATATTAAGTAATTTTTGAGATTAAGTAATGTAAACATTGTAATTGTTTATATTATTATGATTTACATATGTGGTCAATTATCGTTCATAATTTCATGTTTTCAATTAATTCAATTTTTAATTAGCGGCCGTTTTTATATTTTTAGAAAATTGATTTTATTATTTAGTATACATTAAATAATGTATACATTATTTCTTTGTTTAGAAAGTCTAGTAAAGATTTATTTACAAATATATCTAAAACATTCGTTTCTGTAGAGATTGACTTATTTTGGAAACACATTTAAATCATTTAGTATAGTCTTCTGTTTTTTTGTACACATCACACCTAAAAATGAAAACATAATTTAGTATCAAACATATCAAGTACAAATGAATGACTCCTAATATTTTTATAAATTCTAACAATGTGGAATAAACTTACCTCTCAATAGCATTACATTTTAAAGATAATATGTTTATATAAATATATATTATAATTTATATCTCCTAATCAGGTACATAAAATGTAGATGCAATATTTATAGAGCAATGTATATTATGTGATGGTATATTATGTGATGTCAATTCATTCATAAATTATTGGACGTATGTAAATTAAATTAAACAAAGTTGTATGATATCAAGAAAGACATGTAATGTAATAAGAAAATGCAATATATCTTTTTTTTTTTTTAATTAATAGTTTTGGGGCAATTGATGCAGTTTTTTAATCTTTACAAAGAAATATTAACATATTTTCATCTTAAACCAATTATTTTAGAAGTCGTTAGTTTAAATTTTACTACTATTTTAATACTATAATATTTTACTACTATTTTACTACTATTAATACTATAATATTCTTGTTTGAACATTTACACAATGTATATATTTCATTACACCTGCGGATACAATCATATAATTTAAGAAACTTTTAACTGTCATAATTTCCGAACTAACAGATTTAATATAAAAGTGTATTAATATATCTTTTTTAGATATTAAAAAGCTACATTGATTTCATTTTGATTTATTACATGTTTTGTCTATCTCTAATTGTTTGAAAGACACTTGTTTCAGTTACATAGGATGTGACCTTGATACCGTATAAATTTTGTTTAAAATATTTTTTTGTACAACCAATAATTTACTAGTAAATTAAAATTATCACATTAGATACACTACCTTGTATATATATTACATTATCACTTTTATCACTTATACAAATATCACAGATACTAAAAGATTCACAACCATAAATATCAGTCTTGAATTGTTTTGTGCACTTTTGCTTCTATAAAAAAATCTAATTTTGTAAGATATTTGAAATATTAAAATATCTTCCAATGTTGATCTTCCACGTCGAGAATAATTAATTTCAATTATCGTTTTAAAATTTAATATCGAAGTTAAAATTAAATGTTATCAAGATTTTTATTTTATGTAACTATTATATTATGTTTTTAATGTTGCTACCAGACAATGCTACATATAAATTTTACTTTATAAAAATATTTAACGTTATAAAACTTTTTATTTATTCAAAATCTTTTATATATTTAATAATATTTTAAAATTATATTTCAAGAAAAAAAAAAATAAATTATCGGAAACATCAGAAGTATCGTTACCTTTCTTTCTAAAAACATGTTTTTTTGCACGTTCTGTTGATTGATAGGACTAACCATTGTATTTGCTTTCAAATTTGATGAATATTTTGAATTTAACTTTCTTTTCTTCAATGGTATATCTTCATCCGAAGTTGCTTGCTTTTTAGTAGAATTCTGTAACTGTACATTTATATTCTGTGACTTAGTACATTTTATAATACTTGAAACTTCAGTTATATCTTTATCTGTTGTAAGATTTGCTTTTGTAATATCTGTATCAATGTTCATATTTCTTTCCGATATTTTGAAACAAGATTTATCTTCAGGTATATGTGACTTCTCCAAGACATTTGATATTCTTGAATCTTCTAAGAAGTTATCTTCCATGATGCACTGATTCTGTAATGTAGACTCTTCCCTGTAGGTTGTATCCACCATAGAATCTTCATGAAATTTTAATAAAGTTTGTTGTTGTTGAGACACATTTAACTGTTGAACACTTTCACATGTTAATTGATTATTTACATTTTTAGGTGAAGTTTGACAATGTGACATGTGAAATGTTGACTGTGGTGATTCACATGTCTTTTGCGTATCTTGATGATTGAGAGAATTAATAATAGTAATCTGTGAACATCTTAAACTCAATTCATTCTGATTAGATTGAACCGTAGGTGAAAGTAATTCATTTTCTTCTTTCTTCGTCTTAGTTTTCTTTTTACACCTTAATGTTCGTTTGGATGATCTAGATTGTGCACTAATTTCTATTTTATGTTTTGTAATATGTTTTTGTTTCTTTTCACAATTATCCTGCATATTTTTTTGAGTGTTTCTGTGTCCTAAAGAACTTTCATCTTGTTGCTCAATGCACTGCGATGTTATGTCAATATTACATGATAAATCTGTGGAAGACAATAAATCACAAGAATTCAAGGATTCTTTTGTCAAAGGACTAGTTACAGGTTCTACAGATGTATATTTCTGTGATAATTGATCATCCTGTTGATTTAATACAGAATTCATTGATTCATTTGATGGAATGTTATTGGAAGTACAAATTTCAGGTAAATCTTGATTTTTTACATTATTCAATAATTGGGTTTGATTAGCAGTATTTTTCTCTTGAAAAATATAAAACTTTTCTATAACATTACCAGTATTAAACTTATCAATAGAACTAGAAAGACTGCATTTAGGAAACGATTCTTTCTCTTCAGAAAATATGTTATCTGGATTGACTAAATTCGTTGATTGACTAGAGAATGAAGGTATACTTTTAATTGGTGAAGGAAATTCAAGTGCTGCTTCTCTGTTTGTGTTTAATTCAAATCCAATCATATCTATGTTGCTATTAACAAAATGATTTTGATTACTGTACAATTCCTTATCATTTTCTGAAAGTGTATTTTCCAAATCATTATTTTCAGTTATCTTTTCTTCAAAATTGAATTCAGATGTATTAAAATTTGTTATTAGAGGAATTTCGTCCTCAAAATTTTGTTCAATTAATCGCGGGTTAAGTGTTTGTACATTTGAGTACAAACAGTCACTCGAAGGCAAACCCATATTCGAATCGAAATCAAACGAAGAATTTAATATTCCAACTCTTCCAAAGCTATCTTTAGATAATGATGCCTGACAATTTTCTGTATCTAACAAAGTGTACATTTCTTCTGTTTTATTGGTGTACATATCTTCAGATTGTGAAAAAAAATCTGTAATGCAGTTTAATATACTATCTGAATTATCATAATGAAACGGCGACATCAACGGAGATTTTAAATCTCTCCAAATTTTTTGTTCATCTTCAATAGTTTCTTCTGCGTCGCCGTTTAGAACACTGTCAGAAATATTAGTCTTTTCGAATTCGTTTATGGAACGTGACTTTCCTATGTCGCCTTCTTGTGACAAATTTTGCAATGTACATCACCAATGTATATCGTGATTTGTTTTTTTGAAATATTTCATATCATGGATAAAAGATGCGCCACAAGTTTGATTATTTGTTAGTAAATTAATTTTATGTTGATTTATATCCTGTATCTTATTTCTTAGAATTTCAAAACTTTCGTTATTTTCTTTCTTAATATTGTGTCCAAATTCAGATTTTATATGATTATAGATAAGGCTTGAAGGTAATTTGTTTTCCAGAAAAATATTATTTTTTCCATAAGATTGATATTCTTTTGGTTGAGATATTAATTTATGAAATTCATTTAGAAAATGAAAATCTTGACAGTTGCACTTACTTAATAAGTCTTTTCTTTCATATAGTTCTAAAATTCTACTAAATATTTCTGTATCTGTTAATGAATTAATATTTTGTATCCAATCTGATAACAATGATTCTGCATATTGATGTCCTAAAACTGTAGTAAAAACAGTACATACGTTCATCTTATCTAAACATTCTGATCGTTGTTCTTCTGCATGAATAGTTATAATATGTTCGCTAATACGATTTAAAACATCCATACATTTGTCAAGATCATTTAATATACACATTATATTTTTGTCGCAAATTGTTGTCTTATCAATAGTATTGCTATCTGTTGTATTTTGTGTTACATCTTCGCTCTTTATTGTATTAAATATATTACTATTATGACAAGAGAAAAGTTTCACTTCATTCTTCTTGCAACAGTCTATACATTCACGAACTTTCTGAACAATGTTTTGTTTCATCGCTTGCGAATTATGACTATTTATAAATTGTAAATCATGTAAATAATCATTTTGTACATAAATAGATTCAGTTTGGCAATAAGTATTTTCTTCTATCGTATTAGAATCTTTATTTGTTGGTAACTCTTGTTTTATAGATTGTATATCTGTAATATTATTTTGGCACTCCTTTGACAAAAATATTGTCTTTATGGAACTTTTTGACTGAGAAAACAATTCTTTATCCTGAGTATCTATTTTATTAGACTCGTTGATTGTATTTCTAAAAGAAACATTATGTTCAGAAGACATATTTTCATTCCTACTTTCTCTCAATAGATTTAATACACTTTTTGGTTCTTTAATATTTTGTCCCACAATGCTTAAAAGCTTCAGTAAATATAAAATTTTGCATTGCACGTCAGTTTGTTTTATTAATGAAGTACATGTGTCACATTGTTTATGTTGGAACATAGATTTTAATTCATTATTTCTCTTATTGAGATCAAGTATATTTTTTTCCAATTTATCAGTATTATTTTGAACTGATTTTTCTTCTATTAAAGTACAATTTTCTGTACTTTCATTAACTTTATTGTTCGAAACAGGTAATTGAAAACAATTTTCAAAGTTATCTGCATTATGAGCATCTGCAATTTTTAACTGATTTCTATATTTTATTCCATCAATTTGTTTTTGCATTTTATATTTCTTCTTCACCATTTTTAGCCATTCTAAATTTCTTTGACACCTTTTCTTCTTTTTCTTTGTATTCGTTTTTAACTCATCTTCAGTTAAATCAATTAAAATTACTGCTTCAGAATTTGACACTTTTTTATATTTGTTCTTGTTTCTTAATGGAAAAAGTTGTTGATTGCTAATTGTGTTACTTTTTATTTCTTCCTCAAAAGTATGATTATTTTCTGAATTACCTTTTTTCAATTCACAGTTTGTGAAACATTTTTGACCATATGATAAATTCTAAAAAAAAATAAGGAAATATATTATAAATGTAATTATGTTATAGATATTAATAAAAAGTTTACCTGTGATAATTGAAAATTTAATTTTGAAGTTCTTAAGTGGTTATCTTTAAATTCAACAGACATTGTTTCTTCAAATATTAAAAAATTTTTACATGCAGTTTTTAAGTCAAATACATTTGGTTGTAATAGCCAAATAGTTTCATTTTCAAGTCCCTTGGGAACTTTAGGTATTATATTTAATAATTCATCATGCATTTTTGGAATACATGGACCCAATATTGTTAGAGCCATCTTATTCATTTGCTTTTTCTCTTCAACGGTTTCCTTTGTTTTTTTCCACATTTTTAAAACAAGCAAATACCTGACATAATCAATGTCTGTCAAAGATTCTACACCTTTTTTGAAACTAGTAAAACTTTTCCTAATATAAAAAGAATAAAATATATTACATAATAAGACATTTTTATCCTAACTTTATTTTTTAGACTAAAAAGCAAAGAATATAAAACATTTACATACGTGAATATAAGATCATAAATTTTTGCATATTTCTTAGTGACAAACTTAAGTTTAAGTAAAACTCTGAAAATATGCTTTTCTGAATTACCTGGAATAAAAATTAATAAATAATACTATTTGCATCTTAAATTAGAAAAAACATTATACTTTATCACTATAAAATATCTTTTGTATTAAACTTACTTAAATATATCCATAATGCTGAAAGGAGTTTTGAAGCAACTTTAGAAGAATCCATAGTGCATTTGAAAGTTTTAAGTTCTATGTCTATATATATCCCCAACAATACTGACATCTTGTTTAAATATAAGTTGCAATCATTAACATGCTGTTAAGAATATTTATCAATAAATTGTTTGTATATTGTTATTTTCATTAAATTCATCATTAATAATTAATAATTTCTAATAATACCTCTTTTATATCATTCCAATAAAGATGAAAAAATATCAATGTACTACTCAAATGATTTTTCAATTTTATCATATCCAGTGTCTTTTCGCAATATGTATTTATACTGGTTAAAACATGTCTAAAATATGGAATATTAGTCAATTATTTTTGATTTCACAAATTATGACTTCTAACGTAAATTATAAATTATAACTTTTCTTATTTATATACTACTTATATTGATCTCTTTTAATTTCAGAAAAAAAATAATCATCTTACTGTGTATAAAGGGAAAGTAAATGTTTTAACAATTGGTAACTTCTATGTCCCACAGATGAAGACATTATTTTATTAAATTTATTGATCCATGGAAATATATTTTCAGATGATTTAATATCAATAAAACTATTATCCACATGCTCTTGATTTTCATATTTCTTTGACATATTAATAGGACTATTGTGTATCCATATTAAATTTATTTCATCTTTTTCATCCATTATTTCTTTTTCTAAACTATATAAATATTTTAAAAAAATAAAAATCTATGTAATAAACTTTTTTGAAAATATATATTATCGTTAAATAGCATTTAATTAAGACTACAGAATGTTAGTAACTAATATGTTAATTTCCTATACCTCTCGTTATATAATAAAATGATGTATATCTAAATGATGTAATTATATGTATTAATATTTAATACTTGATGAATTATTGTTTAGAAAACTGTCAATCAAGATATAAGAACTGCTTCTATCAGCGTCCTATGTAGAATGAGCCGCAATTTTCAACAAAAATTATCTTATTAAACCTACAAACAAACAAGATTACATACATACATTATAATACATAAAAAATAAATATTTTAATTTTCTGATTTTTACTCGAACAATCAGTCAAATTTAAAAGTTTTTGATACCAATGTGATTGGGAATAAAAAATTTCAAAATGTATAAAAAAATATCGTTTCAAAAACAAATAAGAAGATAAATTTGATAATACATTTGATAATACAAATATAACGTATTTATTCGGATCTCTATATGACGTATTTATTTGTATAATTGTTCATTAACTCAAGCTCATTTCTTAATGAATTACGATAAAATTATAAAAATGAAAAATATCACTTTTTTAAAGTATATATCAAGCGCTGTACTATACCAATAAAACGCAAGAAAACAAAATCGTGCTACTCAATGATCGTACACGTGTTGTAACATAATATTTAATATAGCTGATGCATCGTCACGATCCATAAGGGTGCGTACACATTTGTTACTGTTGCACACGTATTTAGTGGTAATATTGGATTCGCTGTAAGGACTTGAATTTCTAATTTGTTACAGATGACTCTTCATCTTAAGTACACGGAAACGTGAAAACTCGTTTAATGAGTTTAATTTATTTTATTCAAACTCGCTTTCTTTTAGAATTGGCCATTTTCCTGATATTCATGGGGACAGCCAAATCAAGCAACGAAATCACATAATCATACATACTAACGGAACACCGTCCAACGTCTCTTGCCGTATTATTTCTTACACGTTGGGCAACAGCAACACAGCGAGGGTACGGTAACAAATATGTACACACCTTAATATAGCCACGTGTTTGATGTTTAAATACATCGTGCAAAAGAATACAACGTTGTCAACAACATGAAAGCGTGAGTTCCTTTCCGATGCGAATTTGTTTTTAGAAGCGTGGTGTGGATGCGGAAACTAAATACCCCCCACTTCCGTCATTTACACCGTGCGTTACATCGTTTACTACATACATACCCGCGTACGAAATGAAACTGAACGAGGGCGGCCGTCACTTTTATTTTTTCCTTGGAACACAAACGGTTTTTGAGTTTCAGTTTTCTCGCGTTCGCAACGATACAAGCCGCACGCGAAAAGTAAATTTATTACGAACTGCGCTACCTGCTGCCCGTGTGCTCGAAACTTACCACTGCTCTTCAAAACTCGAGTAAAACACGACGCCTGGCGTCGATGCTAGATCCACGTCGCCGTTATCGTAGCATTTAGATCATAGATACGGAAATTGCAGACACAGGTACGGCCGCACTCGCCAAGGAGCCCCTGCGCATCGTTCAAAATAACCTTTTCTCTTACTTGCAATTGCCAATGAAATATGCCATGTATTTCGTTTAACTTTTACAAACGTCCGTTTCTCCGCTTGTCAGAGCAGATTCGTGTTACTTAAATTCAACGTTTCTATGTGCCTTTATATATTTACGACTAATAAGTTTCTTCAAGCGTTATTCAAAGAATATGTCTCGTATATTATTTACATGTGTCATTTAAAAAGAAAAAGTAAATAGAATAACACGATTACGTAATTCTATTTTACGAGTAAATATAACCGTAGTCTTTCACGCATATTTCACCGATTGATTCCCCGGATCGCGAGCATCGAAATGTCATGTATTTATGTTAAGTGTAAAATTGACAGGTCTTCGCGTGATTCGGGCGTAGGTAGATAACGTCAATGAAATTACCGAAAGGAGATCACGCCGCCACGTGCGATTGATTCGAATTCAGTGAGGAAAAAAAACTTTGGTACGTACGCCCCTGAGGAGAGAAGTTGTACACCGAAGCGCAGACGTTGCTCGAACTTTTGAGCTATAATAACCGCTAGCGGCCGATCACGTATGTGACATGGCGTCCGGGTAGAAAGAAAGTTGACTGTTAAATAAGCGTTAATGTTGTTTTTATGACATTGACCAACCGAAAAGGGAACATCCGAGGCCGCGAATTTCCCACAGACACCGGCATTGATGGTAATGCATGCGAGGAAACCACAAAGGATCAGCGATGGGTAGGGTACCGCCATCAAATACCCAATCCTGACACAACCAACCTCTACTCACCTCACCTCTCATCTCCAAAGTCCGTCCATCCGACCCACTCGATATTACTACTACTGCTATTCGCGGGAGACTTTCCACGATGGAAATGCCATTTATCCATCCTGGAACACCCGCCGCGTAGCAACTGTATTCACTATTTATTCTCTATGGTTTCAGGTACTTCGAAAAGCACCAGGCCCATCCCTATCAGGTAAATATCATCCGAGCAATTGGTGTCGGGGGTTTGGAGTGGGGTAATTCGTGCACAGTGCGACTACACGCACGATTTTACCGCGATTCTTTTTCATTCTCCCTCGAAATAACGAAGATCAATTCGCTTTATGTTCGCGCTTTTTTTTCCTTTGAATAATTACGCGATCGGCTGTACCAGTGGCTCTTTCATGTTTCTTACATTACCATTTTTTTTTCTCCTCTCTCTGATAGTTTGTCATTAATCGTATTACGGTCGGTAGAAATTGGGTATAAAAATTTTGCCGTAATTCTCGAGAATGTGTAATATTTTTTATTCTTTCAAAACGTTTCTTATATTTTTCGTGCAATTTACCCGCCTGTTTTGTCCTTTAGTGCAAGTATCACGTAGTTTGTGTATGTGTTTGTAATATATATACTATTTCTCTCTCTTTCTCTCTCTCTTTATATATATATGTATATATATATATATGAAAGAGTATATTTATGTATGTGTTTGTAATGTATATATATTCTATATAATTTGTGACACACACACACGCGCGCGAGCGCACACACACACATCTTGCTTCAGATTCCGATGATGAGTGTCAAAATAATTTTGTTTGCGTAGTTGTTTCACAAAAAATTTGATAATACAAATTGAAAATTATATATATTGCGAGAAAATATCGTTTCTTCTTTCTATAAATTTTATATGTAAGAAATTTAGAAATTGTGTGTTATATTGCAGTACAAATAACATATATTATTTTTGTTGTATATTCTTCACTTGAGAAAACTTAGAATCTTATTTTACAAATGTTAAATCACGTTGAATTATTGATATACGTATTCTTTAAGTAACATTATCTTGTGTATAGATTTGTTTATTATTTTTTTTATATATTGTTGATTTATCAAAAATACTAAGATAAATGGTATGAAAAATGGACGGTTTTGTTTAAAATTCACATGAAAAGTTCAGTTATATTATATATTGTCCTTGAAATAATTCATTCAATTATTAAAAACGTGCATTTATTCTGTATGCTTTTTAACATATTTTTGCAATTTGTTCATTATCGAAAAAGTACTGCGCAAATTGACATAGTTTTTTTGATTTTGATAAAAGATAAAAATTTTATTTGCTCTTGTAAACATAACCTTACTTTTAGAAAATCAATAATTCATTCTTCTACATTATGCAGATTACTAATAGTACATTGGAACTGTTGTATGTATACATTAATTAAAGTTTCTTTTGCAATACATTATTTGTAATAATTGTATTCTAATAAAAATAACAATTTGATAATGTTTTAATTATGCTTATTCATTCATTTTTTGTTTTTATATAAGTTATAAAACTAGTAATGTTAAATTTATTTTTCTAATAAAAATTATTTTTTATCCTATGTGTAAAATTGAAATTTAATATAATAAACAGTTTTGTGTATGATTGTTTTCTGTAGCATATAGTTATATCATAACTTTTGGTATCTTTCATAATTACTAATAATAAAGTATATAATAAGTATATGAAAATTTTTATGATCATTACCAAATATTAAATTTAGTTTTTTATGCTTTTAATAGATAAGTGAACAAATTAACATTTATAAAAGTAACTCATTAAAAAAGAAATAACATATTGAAAATTTGTTTTAATCATATTTGATATTTCATATTTTTATGTAGAACGCAAAGTACAGCAGTTCTAAGGGTGGCTACTCTTCATCAACAACATCATCAGATAGTCGATACGAAGGACGTATGCGTGATTCTCCAAATGGCAATTCTTATAGTCCAGCAGGGGCCTTGGGTATGGGCATGGGAACAGATAGAGACAGTCCTCGCAGCTACACATCCAAGCCCTTATACAAGAAGGAGAGAGAAAACAGAGACTACAAGTTATCCTCCTCTAGGGACAAGTACTCGGGTAATTAAGATTTAATTATATTTTATACTATTTAGAATTATCGTATGTTAAAATAATATAGTATATATATTTAGAATTATCACAAATTGAAAAATATACAATATTTAAAAATGTATTCAAAAAATATTGGATTTGTCAAATATTTATACAATGAAAAATTTGATAAATGTAATTTTATTCTATGACAAGTAATGACACAGTCATTTTTGCTATAACCTGTTGATGCTATTGTAAAATACTAAGTTTTAAAATAACACAACTTTTTTTAATGTTTTTGAAACATATGATTGAATAAAAATATATTTAAAGAATGTTATTATTAAAGAAATATCTTTATGAGCAATAAAATAAGATTTGATATTTATAAAAATATATATATATATATATGTATGTATTATGCTTACTATTTAATAATACTTACTATTTAATAATACTATTTAATAGTACAACATGTATGTATAAATCTGGTTTAATAACAAAGTTAAATAACATATTTTGTACATATTTTTACTTATAATATATTTTAATTATTTTTATAATATTGTTTTGAATAGTATTTCAGCATGTAGTATTCAGCATTGATATACTTTAAATAACATTTCAGCATATAGTACTCAGCAAAGTAGTATTTTAGCAGAATATTCTATCATTGCTAATATAGATACAAAAAACACAAAGAAAGAATAAATAGAAGAAAAATAATAGTAAGAAAACATGTTATACATTCAGTTATTTTTCATGTATTCATTTAGAGTAATAATGCTTTTATTTTATTATTTTTTAAATTATAAAATTTGTGTTATAGCAAAATCGACTGTATAATTTTTCTTTGAGAATTAAAGTTTTATTCCTTCTTTCTTCAGTATAAAAACAGGATTGTGTCTTAACATTTTCAGCTGTAACATGCTTACTTGCATATGTGTAGATTGTGCACGATCTCCAAAAGACAAGAGAAGCCGTGAGAGCAGAGATTCAGAACACAGGACCAACCATGATAGGAGTAGTGGAGAGGTAAGAATGCTATCATTCATTATTTAATTAATGTAGATTTGAACAATAACAAATATTTAACTCTTTAATTTAAATATAATTTTCAATATTTTCTAAATAGAGTTTATTTGAATCTTGTTCATTATTTGGAATGTAGAAGATTTTTTATATAGTCACAATTCTCAATTCGTCTAAATGATTTATATTCTTGAAATGTAATATATATATATAAAATGCTTACACATAATGTTTGAATGTTTTATCTGTTTTTACAGATTTTACATCCTATAAAATTATCATCAAATTCATCAAGAGAGTCCTCATCTCAAAGAAAGCCGTCACACAATTCTTGTCAGGTCAGTATAAAATGTACCTCACATGATTGTACAGAATGTATATGTATGAAAGAAGAGATATCAAAAAGATAGTTCAAAAAAATAAAAATTAATAAGAAGTAATTGGATATTTGTATTACATACATGTATCATATATGCATTTGACGCGATAAATAATATAAAAATTTAACGTTGATTTAATAGCTATTAGTATTTAGAACATTGTTAAAAAGTTATACACAGTGCATCTCATCTCAAAAATTAAAAAATTGTCAAGTATCGAGGTCCGATAGGTATGCAGGATCAACATCGTGGACAAATGTAATTTCAACTTTTCGAGTTTTGGAATTCTTATGAATATATTCCATCGATTCAGTCATTTCCGGAAATTTTAGAACAGTCTGTTTAGGACAAACGTGGTGATGAGCGAGGAGGTGCAATGGAACGTTCAGCCAGGTTTGGTGATTGGTCGGAACATATGAGTTCCTCAGGCAAGAAGTATTATTACAACTGCAAAACAGAAGTTTCTCAGTGGGAAAAACCACGGGAGTGGATTAGTCGAACAGAAAATCGGCAACGGCAGTCTAATGATTATTCTTCTAGGTCAAGTACGTCTAACAATATTATATCATTAAAAAAATTTCTTTAATTTAAAAATGCTTCTTTGCTTACCGTTAGCATTCTTTTTTATAAAAATACAATTTCTTATATTTCATTATAATAAAAAATAAATCAAATTATGATTTGTTTTTTCATTATTATAAGTTTAGTTTTTGTAGTTTTTTTAATTCTGATCATAGATGTGTTTAATATTTGTTTCAAATTAATATAAATTTGCCTAATATAATACATGATAAATGCAATATGGACTACAAGGAATTAATCATATAAGAAGTTCTAATTTCTACTCTTTACTATATTTAATATTAAAGAAATTGTTCAATACAGAATTTCATTTTCTTTGCACATAGGTCATGATAAACATTCCAACTCGCGGTCAAATAGCAGTAGCAGTGTGCGAGATGGTAAATCATCGCGACAGCCTGACAAACGAGAATATTGGAGTTCATGTAGTGGAAGTGGCGGTGGTAGTAGTAGAGAAGATGTTTCTGTTAGGGAAAGAGAAAGAGAGAAAGAACGAGAAAGAGAACGAGAACGCGAAAGAGATCGAGAATCAAGTAGAGAAGAAGTGGGAGTGGAGCGTCAAGCTCAAGACATGGATATTTCTCCAGGTGATTCTACCCCAACTTCCGAACCTCTAACATCTTGTACCCACGATCCACTGCCTCAAGGTCCTGTTTTGTTGGCCACTGGTATGTTCTATCTAAGAAGTATAATGATGAAAAATGAAGGAAGTAGGAAGATTATATACTAATAGGTTGATAACTGATTATAGCATTACCTCGGTTAACATCACACCCACCATCAACACCACAAACACCTGGGAAACTTAATTCACCAACGCAACAAGGAAATAGTAATGCTCCAGGTCCACCGGTTTCGCTAGCAAATCTTCCAAGACTCTTATCTCAAATCACAGGCAATAAAGAACAACCGGATATTACACCACAAAAAGCACTACAAACACTTCAAACAGCTGCAATTCTGTTGTCTAGACAAGTAAGTTCGTTAATAATATATTATATTCCGTTTATAAATATCGTGTCAGAAATATATTTTTTTTTT